CCTATAAATGAGTTGGCACAATGAGCACAAAGATGATTCATAAGCAGCTTGAACTCGAGCTTCTTTATGACTTGAGCTTTGCTCATGGGCTCATTAAGGCTTTGTTTAGTATAATTTTTTTTTTTTTGAATTAATTTTTTTTTATAAAAAAAATATTTTAAAAAACAGTAATATACATTAATCATAAAGTAAGGTCATGGAAAATGACGAAGCTCGGTGGTGGCCACGTCCACTACAAAATTTTAATGGGCTTAAAAAGTTTGAAGCCTATTTATTTCTGAAGAACTGTCTGCGACTCGGGCCGGCCCATGCTAATCGTTTCACAAAGTATTAAGTTTTATTGTGTGCTTTATAGACATATTTATATGAAAAAATAAAATTTATGTCAGAAATTAAAAAAAATGATCTTAATAAATTAATTTTTTATTTTTTAAAGATAAAAAGGGAGCGGGCTGCGGGGCAGGTCCGCGGGCAGGGGCAGGCAGTGGTTCAAACGGGTTTCCGGGTTGACCCGGCAACCCGTCGGGTCAACCCGAACCCGACCCATTTTTCAAACGGGTCAAATCCGTGAATCCGAACCCGACCCGTTTTGAAATCGGGTCGGGTCCGGTCGGGTTTTCCGGTTCGGATTTTCGTGTTGTTTCAAATATTGACACCCCTAATCTTGGACTTAGTTTTCTTCTTATAGAGCTTGTTTCACTAAAAATTTAGGTATTTCAATAAATATTTATTAAAAAAGAATTGATAAGCTTACCATCAAACGATATGAAAATATCTTATTTTTTTATAATAGTTTTTTTTTTTTTGGAAAACATCTTAATTTTTATGTGATAATGTGAAACACTTTGTAATGATAAAATTGACTTTATATGGCCCATAATGTCTGAATTTGGAGAAATATACCTATAGTTTATTTTATTGAAGGAATATGTTCAAAAGTTCATTTCAGGCTAAATTATCGCCCTATCTTATATGCACAGACGGCTTATTAAACTCCTTTGTGAATAATTTGATTCAAATTGTTTCAAATTCAAATATGACTCGAACCTGATTCGAACAACTAGTTTGACCTTATTCGAACCATAAATTAGTATAACTCTCTTTCGCCTCACATATAGTCACTTCCATTAGCAAGCTAGCTAGTTCCCATCATAAAAACCCTCTTCTCCTTAAGCCCGATCAGTCCCATGAGTGAGCCCTCAATGAGCTCCCACCGTAAAAGCCTTCTACTCACATGTCATCAATCATGTTGTCAGTGAGCCTGGAGCTACCTCCTATTACAAAACACTTCTTCTCACACATCAAGGATCTAATTTGGAAGAATTATTCTTTTAATCCTTTAAACATCAACTACCAGAGCTATCTATAGTCATTGTGGGCTCCGAAAATTCGGCCCCGGCCTCCCCGCCGCACGATTTCTTTTTGCTTTGGGCAAGGGAAGGTGACGGGATTTTGGTCGGAGAGGAAGGAGAGTTCGATCGTGTGGAAGAGAGGTAGCCAACGAAAGAAGAGGGGTTCTGGGTCGGTATTTAACGACGTCTGGGGTCGTTCGATCGAGGCGAGTCGCAGGTTTTGAGCAAAAATCGCGGAACGGCGCCGAATGCGCAGTGATTCAGCGAGATTTGAGTGGAATTTCTGGAGGATTCGCTCAGGTATTTCGATGTGCCGAGGTATTAAGCGGGATTTCAGGGATTCGCGGCAGAGTACAGGTATGCATTTCGTTTTCATCTCTTTTTGATATTATACATAAGTCAACAGTCATCAATCAGTGATAAACACAGTCTAACAAAAATCTATAATTTAAAACATCATGTAAACATTTATTTTTTTCCAAAAGTCATTTACAATACTCAGGATCTACACATTAATCACATATATCCATTCTTTTCTGAGTACAAAAGAATAGCTAAAATAAAAAGAACAGAACCTGAAGAACCCTGATAAATCTTACACTTCTGCTCTCTTGCACTAACTTGAAATCATTAACCACATATAATGAGCTTAAAAAGCCTAGCAGGTCACCAACTTATAACTGAAATAAAAGCACGATACAGAAGCAATATGCATGTGATCAATCAGTCAAATCATAGCAATCACTTACACATGATCATTGAGTCAATGGAGAAATATAAATCAGTGCAGAAATAGTAATTAATGCATAACTAGTATCAATCCAAAGACAATAGATTCCATAATCATCAGTAGTAGAATCAATAAATAATAGAAAAACCATAAAGCTCAATGAACCAGTATATATGTCAAATCCTTAAAGGAACCATCGTATCTATAACCTCAATCAAATCATTAAAGAAATCATTGTATGAGTAATATCAATCAAATCAATAAAGAAATCATCTCCGTCAATAATATCAGTAGATATAAAATCGTATAAAGCATCAAATCAATACATCGTCGGTAATTGTTGAAATCAGATCAATGAAATAAAATCATATCGGAATGTACACTTGTTATCCAGCTATTCGATTTACGATCACATGCAATCTAGTTAATCTATATCACGTGCTCAGTGTATCACATGCATAATATCAGTACAGTGACTCAGTGGTATCAGTGCCTATATCAGTATCTGCATCAGTATCAGTTTGTATTAGTATCAGTAACAATCCAGTGACATGAGCAATAATGTAATAATAGTGAAATCGTGCAGTAACAGTAAATTCGTACAGTAACGATAACATTAGTCATACTCAATAAGTAAAAGCGTTGGTTATTATGATGTTTTTCAGTGTTAGTAAACCATTGGCTCAGTAAATAGAGTCATCACCTTTTGCCCGTCAGCACAGTAATAATCTCCTTATAACTCCCAATCAGTGTATCACGTGAATTAGTATAGGATAACACTAAACCGCAGTATTTAAAGGAAAGCCCGTTGGCCCACCATCCTGTACAGGTAAATCAGTCCTCCAACCAATGAGTTAATCATCCTTTACTTGTTTTGTTCACACACATATAATATTATCAATATATAATAATAATAATAGTGACCAGCTATTACTCAAGCACATATCTACATTCATTTTAATGCATATAATAAATAATGCATAATTAAGTTTAATTAAGAGGTTGCCAAAATATCATAACGATATGCAACAAAGAATCCTATTAGACAAAAATGCACATTTTCAAAAAACTATCAAATTACTAGAAATCGTGTAAAACATCATTTTAAAACTTTAATTATACTGAAGCACTGTTTTTCAACATCAAGATAATTTTTTATTTGATAAAAACCCCGCAGATATCAAAATGCCCTGTAAAAAATCTTAAATAAATACTCAAAATACTTATAATCACATTCTCTATAACATACAAAAAGTTATAAGGAGAAAGTTTTGTCAATACAAAGTTATGCACGTTTTTTGGTAACAAAAATACAAATCTGAGCAAAAAAATACCAAAAACACAAAATCTTTGAAATCAGAAATAGGCTATGGATTCCTTACAGAGAGAAGAGCAATTCTTCCAACTACGTCGACGGACAAAAATCGCTCTGCGGCCTCCGAAACCAAGCTTTTCCTTCTCTTCCTTTTTCTTTCTCTCTCCTCTTTCTCTTTCTTCAAAACGAGTCAATCGGTCCTTTAAAAGATATTTTCGTTCGTACGGATGATATTTACGTTCGTACCGATACTAACGCCTCTGTACACAGATCATACGGACGGTAATTAATTTAGTACCGGTACTAATGCCTCTGATTTGAACTTGTTCAATTTGTACAGACGGTTCGTACGTACTAACACTACATGATTTTCAAAAAAAAAAAAAAAAAGACTTCAAAACATAAGGGTTTCACAATCAGTCTCATCGGCAAGTCCGCAAGGATCTCCCATTGAAAAAATATTCTCATCACATACCCTCATTCCCGTTGGTAAGCCCCCATCAACCTTCCATCGTGAAAGCTTCCTTCTCATGCATCGCCAGTCTCATTGACATACCCCACGAGCTCCCATCATGGAATCCTCTTCTCCTTACACAAGTCGTTGATCCCATCAATGAGCCCCAACGCAATCCAATAAATCCCTTCCCCTCACAAGTTGTAGTCCTCTCCTCGTGCTATACGTGGTCATGCCAAATCCCTATATTCGAACTAGGCTCAAATTCAAATCAACTTGAATGAATTTCAAGGACAAACAAACTTTAGTTCATATTTCCTTAAAAAAAATTTTGAAGTAGTTACTTTTCTCTAATTTCATGCATTATGTGACATAAAAATTTTAAATTTTCCTATATATTTAAGTATATGGAAACAAGAAGTAATATGTGAAATACAAATAATTAAATATTGGCTTACTAATTTATGAACATGTCTCCAATTGCTAATAATTAACGTTTGTCTTCACACGCTTCCATCGGTTGCATGTAATAACAGGCAAGAAATTATTCCACTGAACTTTTTTTATTTTCAGTGTTTGTCAGTTAATTCCATTCTTGTTTAAACTGAATGCCTCATTTCCATAGTTTAATCCTTCCAAACAACATGTCTGAAGCGTAAATAAGTTATTTTTTAGGGCTTAGAAATCATAAATTCCAGTAATGTAAACAGTAAATTTGTAATTAAAAAATAAAATTACTTGCATCAATTCTTTCTCAGATGAAAAAAAAAAATTTTTTAGGAAAAAAGATCGAACAAAACAGTCCATTAACTCTATATATACGAAGGATCAAAATGATTTCCAACTATATTAAATGATCATTTTGATCCATCAAATCTTTAAAAATGAATCAAAATGGAACTATTTTGGTTCTTCTTTAAAAAATAAAGAGACCAAACTGATCATTTAATATAGTTGGGGACTATTTTGATACTTCATAGTGAGTCAAGAGATTATTTTGATCATTTTCTCTATTTTAATATTAATTTTCTGTTAGGAACAATTGATGTAATTTTTTTTCTCTTGAAACTGTATTGACAGTAACTTCTGGTTTGAATACTCCCTTTCTTTTCTCAATTAACAACTCCATTTGTCTCATTAAATCTATTTCCTATCTCATCAACTCTCTTCTACAAGGACTCCATATCCCTCCCCTTCTTCAACCACTCTATAACCACATGAAGTTTCCACATCAAAGCTTTGATGCCACCAAATTCCCTATGAAATTTTCTCATAATCTCTTCAATCTGCAACAAATTTGACATTTTTGATGTATTAACATCACAGCACAACTATATCTGGTAAGTTTACATCTTCTTCCCATTCTAACACAAACCTTATGTTTTCCTTTAATCAAAAAACGTATCTTCTCCTCGCTATAATCATCCTTTCCATCATCTTCTTCATATGTGGCATCCTCCATCTTCTCATTAAATACTTCCTCAAACCAATCAATTCAGAATCAGAAGAAATTGCAAGTGCCACTGCCTTCCAAGGCCAATTACAGCAGCTCTTTCACCTCCATGATGAAGGTGTAGACCAATCCTTCATCGACTCTCTCCCAATATTCCTCTACAAATCTATCATAGGCCTTAAGGACCCATTTGATTGTGTAGTTTGCCTTTGCGAGTTTGAGCTTGATGATAAGCTAAGGCTACTTCCAAATTGTAGCCATGCTTTTCATATTGAATGCATTGATACATGGCTATTATCACATTCAACATGTCCTCTTTGTAGGAAGAGCTTGCTTCATGAATATTCAAGCGAGAGCTCCAGTGATCCTGGTTTAAATGTTGAAGATGATTTCACGCAATCTCGACATCTAAGAGTGAAAGATGATTTAAATTTAAAAGAACATACGCAATCTATGGAGCTCCCGCTAATGCAGGATCTAATGAGGGATTATTATACACAATCTCATCCCAATATTTGCAAAGAGACGGTTTCCCCGGATCGAACTGATAAAGTAGAGAATGAGTTGAATCTGCAATATGTTAAGCTTGGAAAGTTCAGAAATGTGGAAGTTAGTGAGGAAGGGACAAGTAGAAATAATGGTGATTTGAAAGAGAGATGTTTCTCCATGGGTGCAATTGAGTATGTGATGAATGAGAGCACTGTGCTTCAAGTGGCTATCAAGACATTGAAGAAGCATCCTAATAGGATTAATGATGGTAACAGTGCAAGAATTAGTGATAAATGCAGTAATGAGATCTTCTCTATTTCAAAGATTTCGATGGGATCGAGAAGAGAGAGAGCCATTTATGATGACTTTTCAAGGAGAGCTTTTTCCTTCAGATTGCCAAAGCAGATCAGTGATTTTGGATTAGATGTGGAAGCTGGAAGAAAGGGACAGAAGACTACGCCAGTCAGCCGTGGATGACTTGAATTGGACTGTTGAGCTATAGTAGCTTTTGTAGATTAACATGTTCTGAGAAAAAAGATGAAACGAGAGATTTGTTCAGTTGTTCTTATAAAAGTTCATAAATTTTCAGCATTTCTACTTATTGAGTTCTTTCCTTTCATTCTGAATTTGTTAGTTCAGATGAAATAAATAAAAAAATTATTTTTACATTCATGATTTGAGTTCAGCTTTTTGTCTGATTCTTAATTTTTTGCTTTTATTATATTTGTTGTTCAGTGCTTGTTTCTAGTTCATTTACACGACAAAACTCATGTGATAAACACTTATGGTCCCCATGAATTTAAGAAGAATAAGAGGGCTGTCAATTTCATCATCATAAGCCTTATCCTTATTACAACTATAGGTTTTATAAATTCTCATTTTGTGTTTGCTAAGTGCTACATTTGGTGTAAAGTTAGGGTTCGGTTGGGATGACTGCACCTTTTAGTAAAGTTGATTATAAAGCTGTTGCGGAGAAAGTAACTTATTTGAAAGCTGTTGTAGATAGCAGCTTCGTAGCGCAAAAATTTCTTGAAACAGTAAAAATATAGTGGCCAAATAAAAACTTTGGTTGCTGTCTGAAAAACAAAACAATAAGAAAATTGTCTCAAACGAAGCCATAGAATCATTAAGAGGATGGATAGTATTAGAAAAAAAGTGATCTTAAGCTGATAATTAATTGTCATTCAAAAATTTTTTTAAACTAAGAAAACTGTAGGTTGTAATTTGCAAAATATTTGGAAAATTTATTTTGATTATTAGAAAATCAGATTGAAATCATGCTGAAAGTTTTGCATTGCTAAAGAGTAACCACTGGAAATTAAAAAAAAAAAAAAAAAAAGTCTACCATGTGCACATGCATTAATGCTAATGATACCTAAAAAAAAAATCTTTAATATTGAAACTCTTAATGATGCCATTAATGAGGATTATTCTTTAAAAATATTTTTTAATTAAATCTCTTAACCTAATCTAACCTAACTTAACCTAACCACTCTTTCATATAGTCATAACTCTCCCATTTCAAGCCTTTGGCATCCTTTTAAGACAAATTAAGAATTGAATAGCTTTTGCTGTTTACTTTTAGTTGTTTTACACCCAAGCATTTGAAAAAGGAAGTGATCATATTCTTACATGAGCATTATTTGTATGACTTGTTTATTTATTTTTGTATATTATATATAAGCAAGGGAGGATTTAAAAAGAGTATAAGGTAGCACATATTCTCTCTCTCTCTCTCTCTCTCTCTCTCTCTCTATATATATATAAGCAAGGGAGGATTTAAAAAGAGTATAAGGACTGACCTGGTCAAATTGACCAAGCCAGGCTCCAAGACCACCTTCTTTGGGTTCCATGGGTCAGACCAAGTCTCTTGAGCTCAGACCCATGCCCTGGGTCAACCTGGTTGACCAGGTCAACCTGGGCTGACCCAAATTGACCCAAACCCCCTTTTATTTATTTCAGATCAAATCCAGAGCTTCTCAAGCTCAGGTCTAATCTCCTTTGGACTCGGTGGGTCAGACCCAACCCACTGGGCGGCCTTGACCAATATCCTGGGTCAACCTGGTTGACCAGGTCAACCGAGGTTGACCCAATTAGCCTGCATGGGTCAAATCATATTCAATTCAATTCCAAACCCTATCACTTGCTCAAACCCTCACCCCCTTTGGCCTATTTGACTAGGTTGACCAAGTCAAGCTTTGACTTGGTTAACCCAAGTCTCCTTTGGTCAATTTTGACCTATTGAGGTCAAATTAAGCCTAATTAATGCACTTAAACCTTTCCTATTCATCTCTTCATGCAAATCCCATTCAAATCCCTTCCTTTCCCTCCTAATTGGCTCTTGATTTGATCCCCATCATCCATTGGATGCTTGGGGATATAAATAGGCATATTAGGGCATCTAAGAGGGGACTTTTACTTGTTCTCTCTCCCTAGACCTCCTCAGCCCTGAGATTTTGTGAGAGAGTTCCCGCGACATCCTTCTACCTTCCCCAAGCCAAACTCGATCGGTCAAAGCAGCCGTCGACGAGTTCTCCGGCAACCCGAGACCCTAAGCGTTCCAAAGAAGATTTGCGTCAATCTAAAACTTTACAGACTACAATTTCTTCTACAAATAGGAGTGTGGACAATCTACAAGTGTAACAAGCCCTTATACGATTTAAACCGTCCATAAACTAATGTGAAAAGCTCAACCCTAGTCTAGGACACTTAGGGTTAATTAGCTTTTCATTAAACACATTTTAGACCACAAAATCTATACCCCATGAATGTTCTTCATATATGAAGTTTGTGTTTAAAATTTATTTGCATTTTATCTATTCGATCGAGCTAATGAGCTCAAAAAACCTACCTAAGGCTCGGTCTATGAAATGTTTACGTTACATATGATCCGAGCCATTGATCTTATGATCAACCGCTCAGATCTAATCACTCTGCGGCACTCGTCCGACCGCAGATATGATCCTGCGTTAATTAGCTCCATCCGGTTTGATCTATGCCATAGATTTGAACCGTGGAGGATCAGATGCTCGACAGCATCTATTGAAGTGGCTAAGTAACGCCGCGTCCGTAGGTTATGATTGTCGCAATGATTCTGACAATCACTGTTGGCGGCACAATCATCGTGCTGCCATACAAAGATTACCCTTGTTTTGGGAGCGAACTGGAAGCCACCGCGTGGCTTGAACGCCGTTAGGCCACCGCCATCGTTATTTAATTTTAAAATATTTTAATATTTATTTTTAAATCTTTTTTTAATTCAAAATGCTTTAAAAATTATCTAAAAAAAAAAAAATACATACAATATGTCAAAATGATCGTATTTTTTCCTCTTTAATTTGAAATTATTTTTAATAAAAAATATTAGGTATTTTTATTATTATATAAATTATTAAATATTAGTTATTTTTAAATAAATTATTAATTATTAAAATATATTATTATTATTATTTTTAGAGGAAGTATCTATGATATTTATTAAATAATTAACAATAAGGTTTAATTTAATAATTTAATTATTTTTAAATTATTACATTTATTATTGTTATTAATATTAAGTAGAGTTATATTAACTTAATAATTTAATTTTAAACAAAATGTTATTTTTATTATTTTTAATTATTTTAAATTGCTATTTATTACTGTTATATTTTAATTATTACTACCAATTTTCAAATTATTAATATTATTTTCTTTCAAGTTATTCTAAAAATTGTTTTGTTTTTATTTATTATTATTATTTTTACAATTTTATCTTATTTATAATTTATAATATGTTGTTTATTTTTAAATAGAATTTATTATTTTTATTATTTCATTTTAATTAAAAAATTTAAATTAAAATATGTTACCATTTTAAAAAATTCCTTTTAATTATATACATAAAATTAGTTTATATTAAATTAAAATTAAAACTATTCTATTTAAGTAAAGTTGTTTTAAATATTTTAAATTTAGAAACTTTAATAATTAATTTATTTTTATTTAATGATTATTTTTAACTATTAATTATTTCAAATTATTTAAAAATCCATTTTAATTACCTTAAACTTCAAAAATTCATTATAATTTTGTTTTAAATCAGATTTTTGCATATAATACCTCTAAATTTTCAAAAAATTATAAATTTTAATTTAAAAGTATTTTAAAATATCAAATTTTATTTTTATGTTATATTTCTGTATTATTTAATTAGTTGACTATTTAAATAATATTTAAATAATTACTATATTGATTATTTTGAAACCTCGTTCGAGTGACCAGTAGATCTCCCACCTATTTATGTATTTATTTACATTGAATTATTTTGAGTTATATTATTTTCTAAAATTTACTTAATTAGTATGTGTATTTTAAATTATTTTTAAGTTACATATATTTTAAATCACCTAACTTTAGGAGATCCGCTACATGGGATTTTAAATGTGAGTTATACACATGAATAGAATTCATGGGGAGGTGGATTAGTGGATTATTGAGCTCCAATCATTTACTAATTGCTCGTTAAGCGTGCTTAATTACTTTTTTTGTCGTCTCTTATACGTGTAGGACGCACGAGCATTTAGCTTAAGCCCTAGCTCCTAGATCTTAGAATTGGTATGTTTACTATTTTTATGCATTCCTTTCTTGTTTTTACAAGGGTTAGTCATTGACTTTGATTTCAAACCTACTTAACATAGCGACACCTTAAGGACAATAATTAAGAACCCATTTAGTGAACTTAGAAAAATTCTAGGAGCTAGGATAGATCCCCAATTGATATGAAACTTTAAAATTTTAAATTTAGTGACATCCTAAACCTCCCAAGATTTTCTAAGATTTTTTTAGGATCTTTTAAATCCCTTAATTAACATACCCTAATTTACCCGTTAATTAGGCCCTGATAACTTCAAAAAATTATAATAAACCTATTTTAACTCATAAAATTCTTCATAATATCTCAAACTCCTTAGAAATTAATGTTTAACCTCACATAATTAGGGCCTCTTAATTGAACTTTAATTTGTATCTTAATTTAACCCCGATTTAAAATTACCTTTTTGCCTTAATTAAATAATAAAAATTATTAAAAAATCTAAATTTTACCCAAACACTTGGGAATGCTTCTTTAGGTCCTTTTTGACATTTGGGGATGATTCCAATCAGTTTGAAGCTGATATGGATTAAAACCCCTAAAATACCCCTAATTAACCATTTTCGATAACTCTCTAATTGCCCTGAAACTTCTAAAATTCAGAACTTTTCCTAGAAAACTCTAAATCTTGAAAACTCAAAGGCTAATTAATCCCTTTAAGGCTTAATATTTAACTAAAATAATAGGATCCCCAAACCTAACCCATTTTCAATAATGATCTTTTGGCCCCCCTTAACCTAGTGTATAAGACTCCAGATCTTCTAAAATTGGCTAATATAAATTGAACTTTAAAGATAACTATTCTAAACATTAAAACTGATCCACAAACTAAATTAACTAAAATATATCCTAATCCGCTAATATTTAAACTTTAATTAAACTTTCCCTTTTTGACCTTCAACAAACTTGAACTCTATGCAACTTAAACTAACTACCCTATATAGGA